ATAACGTTGCTCCCACTCACCTTGAGGTATATGCATTCATCAATAATATTTTCAACAAAACCATGAGATGTCATCACATGATCAAATTTTAAATACCATTGCCTCGATGCCTGCTTTAAACCATAAATAGATTTCTTCAATTTACACACCATATGCTTCTTCCCCTCATCTTCAAACCGTTCGGGTTGTATCATGTAAATTTCCTTATCAAGATCCCCATTGAGAAACGCTGTTTTAACACCCATTTGGTGTAATTCTAGGTCATAGTGCGCTACCAGTGCCATTATAATTCTAAAGGAGTCTTTTGAAGACACGGGAGAAAAAGTCTCATTATAATCAATTCCTTCCTTCTGTGTAAAACCTTTTGCTACTAATCTTGCCTTGTAACGCTCTATGTTACCACTGGAATCTTTCTTAGTTTTGTAAACCCACTTGCAACCTATTGGTATGAAATCTTGTGGTGCATTCACTAGTTCCCAAACATTATTGTTACTTATTGACTCTAATTCAGCTTCCATAGCTTCTAACCATTTGTCTGATTGTGGACTTAAGATCGCTTCACTGAAACTAATTGGATCTTCTATATCTCCAATATCAAAATCACATTCGTGCAAATAAACAACAAAATCCTCAGGTAGAGCAGGCCTCCTAGTTCTTTGGGATCTTCTTACTGGAATCTTTATAGTTGGCTGAGGCTGTTCAGGCTGTAGAAGTTCTTGATTAAGTACTGGTTGAATTTCATAAGTCTCCTTATCATATTGCACAACCTTTATGGGAGTAGTAGTAGGAACCACTGTACGCTTTTCTTCAAAAGTAAACCTGTGAGAATCTGTACTTCCACAAACATCAAAATCTTCTATAAATTTAGCACGATTAGTCTCCACAATCTTAGTGCCTGAACCGGGACAGTAGAATCTATAGCCTTTAGACCTATCTGGATACCCAATAAAATAACAACTAATGGTTCTAGGATCTAACTTTTTTTTCTTGCAGAGTATAGATTCTAGCTTCAGCTTTACATCCCCAAACATGAAAGTGCCTTAAACTAGGTTTCCTACCAGTCCATAACTCAAAAGGCGTTTTGGGTACTGCTTTACTAGGAACCCTATTTAAAATATAATCGGTAGTCTTAAGGGCTTCACCCCATAAATAATTAGGCAAGGAAGACTTACAAATCATACTTCTGGCCATATCCTTTAAAGTATGGTTACGCCTTTCTGCAACCCCATTTTGTTCAAGCGTACCAGGAGTAGTATATTGAGCAACAATACCGTACTCTTCAAGGAATTTAACAAAAGGACCTGGATGACGACCAGACTCATCATATCTTCCATAATACTCTCCACCCCGATCTGACCTTACAATTTTAATTTTTCTATCCAATTGATTTTCAACCTCAGCTTTAAATATTTTAAAGACTTCAAGAACACTGGATTTTTCTGATAATAGGAAAATATAACAATAACGTGAAAAGTCGTCAATAAAAGTTACAAAATAACGATGACCACTAATAGTTGGTACAGGAAAAGGACCACATAAATCAGTGTGAATAATCTCTAAAAGTTATTGACTACGATTGGAACCTTTCTTTCTAGAATTAGTCAATTTCCCTTTTATGCAATCAACATAAACACCAAAATCTCCAAAATCCAGTAGAGGCAGGATTTCATCTTTTATTAATCGTACAATTCTTTCCTTAGAAATATGACCTAACCGTCTATGCTAGAGCATGGATGAATTTTCATTTTAAAACAAACGTTTCTCTCCAACATTATTCTCCATACTAAAGGCTACAAAAGATTGAACACAATTTAATTTATATAATCCATCTGCCAAACAACCATTGCCAACTGTACAAGAGTGATGAAATAAATTAAAACCACTTTTATTAAATTCAAATGAATATCCAGACATAACAAGCTTAGACACTGAAATTAAATTCCTTCTCATAGAAGGTACATAGACTGTATCTACCAAATCTAAAGAAAAAACTAAACTCTAACTGAAGTCTAATAACTCCTATGGACTCGACTGCAACCTTCATGCCATTCCCTACGAACACGTTCACTTCATTTTTATTTGGTACTCTTCTGCTTATGAACCCCTGCAAAGAATGAGTGACATGAAAAGAAGCTCCAGTATCAATCCACCAAGAATCAGAAGGGACATCAATTAAACTAGACTCAAAACAAACTAAGACTAGAGGTTTACTGTTTTTCTTTTCAAGCCAAGCTTTGAACTTGCGACACTCCTTTTTCATATAACCATACTTTTTGCAAAAGAAACACTTAACCTCATCCTTATTTGGTTTTGAAACCTAGAGGTCCATTGAGTGGTACAATGTTTTTCGTAGGGTTCTTATGAGAGGATTTGAATTTATTATTTTGACGGTTTTTACCTTTCCCATGGTACACAAGTTGCACACTCTCACTTTTTTCACGACGAAGCCTTTCTTCTTCCTGGACACAAATAGAAATCAATTCATTCAACTCCCACTTCACACGTTGAGTATTATAGGTCACCTTAAGCTGTCCATATTGGGATGGAAGAGAATTGAGAGCCAAGTGAACTAGGAAGGGATCAGAAATAGGAACATCTAAGGATTTCAGCTTATTTGCTATATCTATCATCCGCAAAATGTACTCACGTACACTTCCATTACCATCAAACCTCATACTTGTTAAATTATTCATTAGGTTTCCAGTTTCAGCCTTATTTGACTCTACAAACTTCTGTCCCACGGCATCTAAGAATTGTTTTGCATTATTGCACTCCGGAACTCCACCACGAATAGTGTCAGACATAGATATCTTCATGATTAAGAGACATATGCAGTTAGCCCTATCCCATTTTTCATGTTTCAGCCTCTCTTCATGTGAGCTATCCTCAGTTGGCTTAGGTGGTTCATCTTGCCTTAATGCTAAGTCAAGATCCATTAGCCCAAGAACAATCTCTAGATCTTGTTTCCATTTCTTATAATTGGTCCGAGTCAATGTCTCAATAGAAGAAAATTGGGTATTCATTCCAGGAGCATTCATAACTGCGTAAACAAAACAAATCATGCTATTTTACAATTATAATAATGAAAATAGCTAATTTTAATCAAAGATTAAACCCCAATAATTCCGTATGCATTGTTATACTCTTTCCTTTGGGTGAAAATAAAACATGCGACAAAGCTAATTTATAAAATATAAAATTATTAAAAAAACCTTAACACCTTTGGGCAAAGATATATTTAAAATTCTATATTTTATAAATTACTCTGTGCCATTTTTGAATTGAACCAAATAAAAATCTCCTTTAGGTGGATCAATATTATGTAATAACTCAAAAATGCAACTTTGATCAAAACACCATTAAACTAAGAAAATCCTATAAATATCATGAATGAACCACTTTGGTAGCTTACTCAATCAACCTATTAGTATTTTCTTAGGTCAAATCACCAATCAACATCTCATTACATTATATCCAAATTAAAACAGAATATATTGAAACAGTGAAAAAATAAATAAATCACGTTAACATCTCATTTACATCCAAATTAAAATAGAAACATAATATATTGAAACAGTGAAAATAATAAATCACGTCAACATCTCATTATATTTATATCCAAATTAAAACAGAATATATTGAAACACTGAAAATAATAAATCACGTCAACATTTCATTATATTTATATCCAAATTAAAACAGAATATATTGAAATAGATGTGAAATTATTAATCAGTATATTATAATATTTATATCCAAAATAATGACCTAATATTTTAAATCTGTAGAAACAGAATCACGTGAAAATATTTGACATAATATATTAAATTATTATTGAAAATAAATAGGTCTTAAGATGTGTTTGGATGGCTCTGATACCACATGTAAATAAATTTAGGAAACCATACACATGCTTAAAACACAATAATATAATAATAAACAGTATGTAACAAAGAATACCTGTGGAAGCTATTACGCACCGAAAAGTAGAACAACGTACAAGATCTGCAAAAAAAAACGTTTTGCTTGATCTTCCACCCTCTCCACATTTGCTCAGATGTCTATTCAATGGGCTAGACTAAACTGAATTAAGCGTATATGTGAGAGTGGGGACCAAACAATATATATAACGTATCTGATAAAATCCCTCCCATCAAGGGATCCTTATCAGATAACAACAAACCCAACGTAACGTGAGTTATGTTTATCGCATTATATATAACCATATATAATGCTAATATATATTTATATTCTTATCCATATCTCATAACACATGATTACATGTGACTAAGGTATACCATAACCCAATAATTTATAATCACCTTAATAGGGTATCCAGTAATCATATATATGGTCTCAGTCATCCATCCGGGTTTTAATAACGTTAATCAATGAAAGCCCAAAAATTCTTACAAAAACTGCTTACATGACATTTTTGAAAAACCAAAATTCGTAGAGCCTGGTGGATGCTCTTAGCATTGCATCAAAGCATTGACCCGTCATTTCAAATCGAATGGATTAATAAATCAAAATGTCCGCTAATTCACATGGTTCAGGCAACATCTGTAAGCATGAGTTTGCGTTGTCTTTCCATAAAAGATTGATTCAAATTCTTAACCTATTTTTTCACTTTTTACAACATTTAATCAAGTAGTTCTGTTGTGATCAATCAAAATTAATGATCCCCATTCTACCACCCAGCTATTGAACTTTTTATCTCCTCTTAGATTTATTTTCATAAGCAATTTCATGTATTAGAAAGGAAGAAATATGGGACACTTAAGAAATATCAGTTTAATTTATATATGATTCAAGAAATGCTCTAAAATAATAATAAAAAAGGAAAATATAGCAGAAATAATTGTGCACTGAGTATATTCATTTATAAGAACATGAAAAAGAGAAATATATATGTTTCTATAAGTATGAACATCTAATCATAAATCTTTTTGGAGTAACAAAATTTTGGATAGCTATGATATTGAATCATGATTTATTGGCTAGTGGTTGAGAATGTTGAGGAGGGAAACTCGAGTTTTGATTAAGCGCCTGAACAAGGACTCAAGTCCTTCCTCATGATCTTGAATGCTCCACTCCAATTTTTTCAGTAGGTTTTGCACATTCTTAACATACATGCTTTTATCAGACATTGCAGCATCGACCTTCTCAAACTCATTCAAATCAGTTTCTTCATCTTGACCTGGTGCATTTTTCTGGTGCATCAGCTTGGACATCAAAGACCATCTGCTCGGCCTTGATTGCACTTTTGTCCCTGTGGCGTAGGACAACATGGACTCGAACATGGTGAGAGTGACAGCTTCAACCTCATTAAACATGCTAACAATGGCCATAGTTTCATGGTCATTGTCTAAAGATGTGAGGCTTTGGTTGTTTCTAAAATTACTCTTCAGATCCTTCAGGCACTTTTGGATCAACTTCTTAGCCTTCTTTCTTGAGGAAAAGTAGTCACCAAAGCCATTTGTATCACGTCTTCTGCGCAGGATTGAGAGTAGCTCTTGTACATCTTGCTTTGCTTGTGAGAAGACATCTTTAGCAATGGCACACACATCCAACAGCCTGAGGTACCTGTCTAATGCCTCATCAACCCATTTATGGTGGCGTTGTTAGGCAAATACTTGTTGAGTGTGTGGCAACAAAAGCAAATCATCCACACAATCATACAACTCTTCAAGACCACTTAGTCTGTTGCTGATGGATGTGGCTTCAGAAGCCTTAACTCTGCACAAATGCTCCTCGAATTGAGGAATGAGCGGATGAGATGTAAAGGGCAAGCTAACAGAGCGAGCATGGAAACCGGTTTTTGATCTCAAAGGAGATGAAGCCATCTTAATTTGTTTCTTATTACAAATTAGGCTCTTAACACTAGAATTTACAAAGCAATCTCAAGTCTGAGTTGCTTTCCCTTTTCACAAGCTAGCTCAATATATATATATATATATATATATATATATATATATATATATATATATCATCATAAGGTGAAGGAAACATAAGGAATCTCACCCTCTTCAACAATCAATGAATGGCAACGTGATTGTGATTTGGATCTAACTACTACCTTGCCAATGTCTAGGCAATGTCTCCCTCCCACCAGGTCCCAAACTCACCACTAAAATGTTTTTAATTTCGAAAATCACATCCATAGTTCAAAGCATAAAATGATGGCATATATGTATTATTTTACAGATCGAAATGCATTGCAATAGCAGCACGAGTGGCATTGGCACCATGTTTCCCATAACCAGGAAATGCCAGCACAATTCTTTCTTTTCTGTTTCATTCATGTCCACAGCCAAGCGTCTGAGTATATGTATGTGCAAGGAATCACATTATATTTTATGTTTTCATTACTTGATTATATTAATTACCATCATAAACAAATACGAGATTTAATAATGATGCTAAGATGATGCCTGCCTTCTCGCTGTGCTATGTTCTGATTGGTTGCGTACTCGTGCATATGTATCATTTAGAGCCTCTCCAATGCTAAAATGCTAAATTCGGATGCCAATTAATTTATATTTTGACAGTGCTATAGTGTCAAAATGCTACATTTTAGCAATTTTGCTCCAGTGATGCATTTTATGCAAAATCTTATTTTTTAATACAACCACTATTCTTTTTCAACTACCATTTCCACCATTCAAATTTGCATCAGTAATGTTAATATTAGGCATATTTCAAGTCAAGTTGTAGACATTAGAAGGAAACTAAAATTAACCTTCATTAAAAAGAATCAAAAATCTAAAATATCTTGTCAAAAAAGGACCAATATATATATATATATATATATATATATATATATATAAATTTATATATTTGATTATATTATTATATAAATTTTTTTATATATATATTTTTCTTTTTCAGAAATTTATGTATATTATATATATATATGTATATTATATATATTTGATTATATTATTATTAATATAATCAAATATATATAATATACATATATATATATATATATATATATATATATAGGGCAAATCATTTCAGCCTCCCAAATCGCCATATATATTTTTAAGGAAAATCATTTCAGCTTCCCCAATATATATATTTAGGACAAATCATTTCAGCCTCCCAAATCGCCATATATATTTTTAAGGAAAATCATTTCAGCCTCCCCAATCGCCTCCATCTCTATTCTCGTTCTCAACTCTAAGAACTCCCCCCCTCTCTCCAACTGCAAACTACAAAATCTACAAGAATCAGAAGTTCAAAACCCATATATTTCAGTTTATCTATCTGTCTGCAAGAATCCAAAGTTGAAAACCTATTACCTATATCAAAACCCATATCGGCGTATCATTTCAGATTGTTCAAAAAATCAAAACCCATATCTTTCAGTTTCCATCGCCCGTTGTTCCAGTTCAGGTTCGCTGTTCGCAAGCTTCAGCCGCTGTCTCTCAACTCAGTCCACCGAGAAACATCAAGAAAGAAATTTACCGTCTTTGTCGGAAGAATCCCAAGGATAGAATCCAAACGGATTGTCGCCGAGAAAATTGCCGGAATTGTAAGCTTTTGCTCTGAAATGGATGAAGGAAGAGAGCGATTGAGGGTGAAGAAGTAGAAGTGAGAGAAGAAGAAAGAGTGGAGAAGCAGAGGGCACCGGTTTCTTCCATTGAAGAGAAAAATTTTGGCAGAGAGAGAGAGAAAGGGCAGGCAACAAAAAAGACAAAGAGCTATTGCTATTTGTTTTGTTAGATTTGGCACCAAAAATAGCAAAGTCAAATTTTGACAGGTGATATATCAAGCTTTTGGAGGGCTCAATTTTAACTCACCTGCTATATTTTGAATTGGCAGCCCATATAATAGGTAGGTTGGAGATGCTCTTATGATTATAAAATTTTTGCTATCACAGACCTCACAATGGCTGGCCTATATCATACAAGAAATATCAGATATAAAAAGTTGTGTAGATAATGGAGAAATTTGTCTCGAAAAAATTTAATATTTGGTAGTAGGTTTTTTTTTCTTCCTCTAAATGGTTAAAAACAATATTATATATGAACAAATTTACAATGTCACCTTGCCCAAGTTGCCCAATAACCTATTTGGTAGTAGGTTGTGAAGAGCCATTAGTTGTCCTACACCGATTTAGATGGGAAAGTGAATATGTTCGTATAAGTTGAGTGTTAAATCCACTTAATTAACTTAAGTTTTTGGATTAGATTGCAAAACACATTACCCATTACCGTTGGTATTAGAGTTAAACTCATTCATTGATCCGGGGTTAGTAAATAAAATGTTAAGTGCTTGGTGACACATTATAATATATAGTAGTTTTGATAATTTTTTAAAACTCCCCAAATCTGATTTGACTAAGCCCAATTAAAAAAGAAAGAGTCATCTCTTACATGGTATAAATGAAAAGAAAAAAAAGGAAAGAAAAGAAGAAAAAGAACAAAAAAAAAAAAAAAAAATGATGTTTTCTCTTTCCCCTCATAAACAAAAACTAAAAGCTCTCCAAAATTGGATATATACAACATTTCTCCTCAACCGTCACATTTTGTAAAATTATTATCGACCTCTACTTTTTCTCTAAAAAAACAAATACATTTTGTAGAAATTTAATAGGATGAATAAATTATAGATTAAAAATTCATTGATATAAATTTTAAAACAATAAATATTTAGTTGTATAAATTTTAAAATAATAAATATTTGATTTATACAAAGCATAACTAATACTGTATCTGTATAGTTTTATGAATTTTAATTTATAGAACACGAAAACAAGTAATTTTCTGTTTGTGTTAGACTTCTACTTCCTTTTATGTTCTACTGCGTATAATTGTTGATCCATTTTGTGGGCTCCCGTCATAGGTATAGATGTTTTGTTTTTGCTGTGGCCGAAGGCCCGTATTTTTCTTTTCCTTCTTTCTATGTACAATATACTTTGCTTTGCCTCTTTTTAAATAATATATAAAAAAAATTACCACATAAATGATTTTTTTTCAGATTTTTAATTTTAAAAAAAGGAAAAAAAAAAAAAAAAGGAAAGAAAGAAAACCCCTGTACATTTTTTTTTAAAGGTTTCTTGTTTTATTTATTTTTTATTTGTTTAGCACATTCCTGTGGATAACCTTGCGAGAACTTCAAGTGCATGAGAAGGAACAGGCAGGGTAAGCATTTTTTATTTTATTTTATTTTTCTCCTTTTTATTGGAGTTTAATTCATAGATTAAAATGGAACAACACTACCTGGTTTTCTTATAATATTTTATTAATTTGATTTATTACTTATATTTTTTTTTTTCTTCTTAATTTTCTTTTTATATGCAGATTAGATAAAGGAGATGCAGCAGAAAAGCCTAGTAAATTGTAGGGAATTTACATATTTGAACTGTATTACAACTTCAATGAATTTTTTATCACCTCTCAAATTCTAAATGATTTTGTAATTGAAGTCAATAAAATGATACTAACTTGTTGTCTATATTTGAATTCTCATTTGTGGAATCTCTATTAATCAGGTATTGGTTCTTTTTTTTTTTTTTTTTTTCCTTCCTTTCTTTCTTCTGTGTGCTTCCCTAAAATAAAATCAATGACAGAGATATAGAGCACAATCAAAATGCAATAAGAGCACATGGAGGCATAGGCGGTGGTTCTTACAATGAATTAGATTCAAATTAATTTTAATTATTTTCAAAAATATTGAAATGGAACTGATACATGCAATAGAACTGAAGTGCGATAAATAATTTGAATGTTTTCTTTTAGTCTGTTGTTTTTATTCTTTGACTTTTCAAAGTTAACGAATTTTTGCACTTACCGTGGTGATCGTACTCCACCACCCTGCTGAGGGAGATTGTTGAACCATAGATTTGTCGGTCTTTTTCTTTCTTTTAATCTCCTCTTGATTTATATTTATAAGCAATCCCATCCATTAGATGGAAAATGGGGCGTTGAAGAAACTTTAGTTTAACCTCTCCATCCTCAAAGAGGAGGGGAGGGATGGTTCGAGCAGGATTGTGAACAAAAAGTGCGTGTGAATGTATTTCTTGTCAAATTTATTATTATTTTAAAAAAAAATAGAAACATTAGTTTAATTTATATATGATTTTTCAAGAAATGATCTAAGAAAGAGAATAGCAGATATATGACAGCAATAATTGTGCAGGAGTGCTATATTCATTTGTGAGGATTGGAAAAAACAAAGTATATTAATTTCTCATGTACAAGTGTGAACATCTAATCATATTTCTTTTTTGGAGCAACAAAATTTTGGATAGCCATGATACTGAATCATGATTTCTTGGCTAGTGGTTGAGAATGTTGAGGAGGAAAACTGAAGATACAAGAAATTCATACTCCCTTTCTCTCTCTAGAATTCTTACATTTCAACCAAAAAATATCTCCCCCTTTCTTTACCTTACTTCTCCTATTTATAGAGATTTACAAATGTCGATGGACTGCTGGATCTAGGCCCGTTCCTCCATGAGTCCCGGTCTTCTTTGATGGGCTTATGCGCGTTCGGCCCATATGGCAGTGCCTTTCTATGGGCCTGACCCACCTGTACGGACTAAATGTCGCGTTTGCAAGTCATATCCGGCCCATGTCCTATCAGGCCTCTTCAACTGCCCCCATAATTACCCCTTGTTTAATAAGGGGGTAATTATTGAAGGCGTCTCATCATGACGTTGACGGCTCGAGAAACCCACATGGGGGAACGGACGGTCAGATCCAGAATCAATGTTCCGGGGCTCGATGAATTTCTCACCTTCCTGATGCTTCGGCCCTCGGGTCCCCCTCGCCTTTATAAGGCTCTAGAATACCACTCCATGCCTTTTTACCGTCTCCATCATTAGTCAAATCTC